TTAGGAGTAGTGCTAGTCACAGGACTATTAGAAGTAGTGCTAGTCACAGGACTATTAGAAGTAGTGCTAGTCACAGGACCATTAGGAGTAGTGCTAGTCACAGGACTATTAGAAGCAGTGCTGGTCACAGGACCATTAGGAGTAGTGCTAGTCACAGGACCATTAGAAGTAGTGCTAGTCACAGGACCATTAGGAGTAGTGCTGGGCACAGGACCATTAGGAGTAGTGCTAGTCACAGGACCATTAGAAGTAGTGCTAGTCACAGGACCATTAGGAGTAGTGCTGGTCACAGGACCATTAGGAGTAGTGCTAGTCACAGGACTATTAGGAGTAGTGCTAGTCACAGGACTATTAGAAGTAGTGCTGGTCACAGGACCATTAGGAGTAGTGCTAGTCACAGGACCATTAGGAGTAGTGCTAGTCACAGGACTATTAGAAGTAGTGCTGGTCACAGGACCATTAGGAGTAGTGCTAGTCACAGGACCATTAGGAGTAGTGCTAGTCACAGGACTATTAGGAGTAGTGCTAGTCACAGGACTATTAGAAGTAGTGCTAGTCACAGGACCATGAGGATTAGTGCTAGTCACAGTACTATTAGAAGTAGTGCTGGTCACAGGACCATTAGGAGTAGTGCTAGTCACAGGACTATTAGAAGTAGTGCTAGTCACAGGACTATTAGAAGTAGTGCTAGTCACAGGACCATTAGGAGTAGTGCTAGTCACAGGACTATTAGAAGTAGTGCTGGTCACAGGACCATTGGGAGTAGTGCTAGTCACAGGACTATTAGAAGTAGTGCTAGTCACAGGACCATTAGGAGTAGTGCTAGTCACAGGACCATTAGGAGTAGTGCTAGTCACAGGACCATTAGGAGTAGTGCTGGGCACAGGACCATTAGAAGTAGTGCTGGGCACAGGACCATTAGAAGCAGTGCTAGTCACAGGACCATTAGAAGCAGTGCTAGCCACTCCCTTATTGAATCTCATGGTCTTGGGTATAGACCAGGCACTATGTAGGGTTATACGCTGTGCTGAGTCGGTTCTCCTGAATCGATGTGAAGTGAACGCTGGAATCCCGTGT